CCCCAGCCCCAAGCTGCTTGGAAGCCCGGGAGCCCCAGGGCCTGGCAGTGCCAGCGGAGGGTCTTCCCGCCATTGGTTAGGGCTGCAGAGGGGCTGCCTCTGCATCCTGTTGGCCTGGCCTGAGGACCTGGGTGCACCTCAAGCATCTGCCACCTCCTAGTCCTGGCACTGGCTGGGTGACTGAGGGATTTCATCTGAAAGGATCGGGAGTCACTGAAGTCAGGGGCATCGTGTTGAACCAAGGACCCAGGTCCTAGTCTAAGCTCTGTGTCTGACTGGGATCTGGACAAGCCCGCTGGCCTCTCTAGCCTCAGTTTCTTCATCAGTAAGTTGGGGCCAGGATCCTTTCCCTGCAGTTCTTCCACGTGTTATATCAATCACCTGACACAACGGGCATATAAGCAGTTAACGCACTGTAAGGAGGTTAGAGTTTAGGAAGCCTGTGGGGAGTGGTGAATACGGCCCAAGGTCTGAGAGGTGACAGGGCAGATGACCTAGGACTGAGGCTGTGGGAAGGGTGTTGGCTTTTACTATGAGTGAGAAGACAGTTGCTGAGGACTTCTAAGCAGGTGATGGTGGTACCTGACAGAGGCTGTGAGGGATCATTCTGGGTGTGTCTGTAGGTGGGCCAGGCTTCTAATGGATTACACATGGGTGGGGGACTGGGAGAGAATAAAGGAGGCTATCACTGATTTTGGCCCGAGCCATCAGAAAGGAGGGAGTTCCTTGAGCTGAGGAGGGGAAGACAGTGAGAGGAGCCTATGTGGGGCAGGAGATGAGGGGGCTTGTCCTTTGGACATGCCAAATTTGAGGGGCCCATTAGACGTCCAAGTGCAGCTGCCGAGTCAGTGGTTGAATGTAGGAGTCTGGAGTTCAGGAGCAGGCTCTGGGCTGGAGACATAACTCAGGAGTCATCTGCCTGAGGCCAGCTAATGATGTGGGCCGGCTGGGCACAGCTCATGCCTGAAATCCCAGCACTTTTGGAGGCTGAGGTGAGAGGATTTCTTGAACCCAGGAGTTCGAGACCTGCTTGGGCAACATAGCAAGACTTCATCTGTTCAAAAACTACAATCATGTGACTAACCCACCCATCTGCCTGCTATCACCTAACATCAGTACCTGCACTTACCTACCCTTTCGTGATGATGTGGAGCAGACCACCACCCAATTACCTTGAAGACCTTCCCCCATCCAGGGGAAATGGTTAGAAGGACTCAATCATGAGCAACCATTTTGCCATGACCTTACTAAGCTATGGTGTGACCATGTGCTTTTTTGAGCTATGGCCAGGCCATGTTTTCTTAAGTTTTGGCCCTTCTCTTCTACCTTGGGGAGGTGACTCTCTTTCTAATTTATTTTCTAAATAAACTGTATTTTCCAATCTTAAAAAAAAAATCAAAAAATTAGCCAGGCATGGTAGCACATGCTTTGGGAAGCTGAGGTGAGAGAATCACCTGAGCCCAGGAGATCCAGGCTGTGGTGAGCCATGACTGTGCCACTGCACTCTAGTCCGGGTGACAGAGTGAGACTCTGATGCAAAAAATATATATAAATAATCAATCAATCAAGCAAGCAAGCAAGCAGTGGGCCTAGGCCTGAGTGCCTAAGGGCTGCTGGGTTTTCAGTGAGGCAGCTGCCAAAACTACCCCAGGATGGGGTACTCATTGTGTGCCACACACCTCACCTAATGGCCACTAAGCCCTGTGGCAGTGTCGAGGGTAAGTCTCATTCTTCCTACTTTCAGATGAGGACACAGGGGCACAGAGAGAGGAAGTTGCCTGCCTAAGGTCACACAGCCAAGAGTGGTACAGCAGGACCTGACCCTGCTTTGTCTAGCTCCCAGCCCCAGCCCACACTGCCCCCTGCAGCTCTGGGCACCTCACCCACCTTCCTCGATAGGTATTCACCTCTTCCCCAACAGCTCTTTAGGGGCAGGAGCTGTGTCCTCCACTCTGAATCCCTTGGGCTTGGTCCAGGGAGGCCCAAGGCTCGTCTTCCAATGGTGGCCCTGTGGGCTGGGGGCTTTAAGAAGGACCTTGGGGCTGACAGGGAGTGACGTGGGTCTGAAACCAGGCTTGACTTCTACAGAGAAACACCACCCACATGCCTGAGCCAAGCAGCCTCACACCCAGCCATGCTGTGAGCTGGGTCTTTGGCCCCTGCCAGGCCCGCAAGGAGGCTATCCCTGCTGGGTGCAGGTGCAGGCAGAACTCTCAACCCCTCATTGCCCACAGGCATGGAGCCAGCAGGGGAGGGCATTCCACACCTCAGGAAGCTGGCAGCTTGAGAAACTACCTCCAGAGGCCCCTCTCCTATGCCCACCTCCAGGGGTCAAGGTGCCTGACTGGGAGGCCCACAGCGTGGTGGTGAAGCCCTCCTTCCACGGAGCCATAATTCCCTCTGGCTGTCTGCCAGCACCCCACTCCTCAACAGGGGCCCTGTCGTCAGCCCCCCCCACGTCCACTGGGACCCGACCCGCCGCGTAGTCTCACCACCCCCAACTCTCCAGGCAACCCTACCTGCCTCTGGTTTCTCTCTTTTTAGGAGGCTCCCCCAAAGCCTGACCATGAAAGGAGCCTCCAAGATGGCCTCTGAGAGGCCCTGAGAAGGGCAGGAACTTGCCCCAGGTCCCACGGCAGGCTGGCCTTACACCCATGTGTGGCCGTTCAACCCGGTTCTGCTCTGGTGGTGTAGGACATGAGACACGCCACCCTCCCTCTCTGGGCCTCTGAACCAGGAGAGGGTGGAGGCTAGGAGCTCTGAAGTCCCCGAGGTTCAGATACCAAGCTTCTTAAAGATGCAGGTGGTCCCGGGGCTGTGTTCAGCTGCTGCCTTATCTAGCCAGAGTTGCAGGATGCCCTGGTGGACACGACAGATCTGGCTGTCAGGTACACGTGTTTGTGCATAGATGGAGTGAGCAGTGGCTGTTGTCAGGAGCTGTGAAGGGGTACAGAGGTGTGAACAGATGTGTGTTTACCTTTGTATACATGTACATATTCAGTTGTGAATGGGTGGGGTGTGTGTGTGGGGTATGCTTGTGTGCCGATCGTGTGGGGGATGTGTGTGCTGGGGGTACACAGCGGCTGGGGTGTGTGGGTGTGTAGATTGTTTGCCCAGGAGTGTGCACACACAGGCTGCAGATGCGTGAGCGTGGGTGACTATGTGTAGTTGTGTGTGAATACATCTGTATCTGCCTATGTGTACCCTGGTGTGTGAGCCCAGGTGTGTCTGAGTCAGGAGCATGTGTGCAGCCATGCACTCACCTGTGTGTCCCTGCAGATACACACGTATGCAGGTGTGTGTGTGAGCAAGTTGGTGTGTGTGACCAGGTGTGAACGCACACACACTTGCATGTGCTTGGCCGCACGTGTCCCCAGGGCATGGGTGCTGGCACCGAGTGGAGCTGACTATGCCGCTTGGGTGAGTGGATGGATGGATTTCCCAGCCTGAGCCCAGCTTTCCAGGGCTTAACACCCCAGCCAGGTAGAATTATGCTGAGCCACTGGGATGGGCCGTCTCCACCATGAGCGTTACGCTCCGCAAGGCTTAGACAGGCCATGCTGCAAGGGTCCCGCAGAGCTCCTCCGTGCCCCATCTGGGCCCCTGGCACCCTGCACCCATGAGGCCTGGCACTAAACCAGGGAACCCCTCCTCCACATCCACAGTCTCTCATTTCTGTACTTCTGCCCTGCCTCGGATGACAGCCATCACCCCCGCATCAGACCCAGCTCTGATGGCCCCTTCATTCTGGGATGACGAGTGAAGCAGTTTCCTCACAGCAGGTGGAATGTGGAAGGGCCTTAGCAAACCGGGAGCCGGAATGTAGAGGTTCAGGCACCCACTGGCTGGGGGCAGGCCGGTGGGAAAGGAGTGGTGGCCACAGCCCGAAGGCTGCCGCTCTTCTGTGAGACCCTCTTGGTGCCTGGGTCCCACCCCTCAGGAGTGCCTCCGGTGGTGGGGTGTGTGTCCCACCTCGGGTGAGGGAGGAAGTGGGAGTGGGCAACCCACTTCTGCAGGGCACAGGCCCTGCCTGGGAGGTAGCTGGAGGAAGCTCAGGGGCCTATGCTGGAAGGGAGGGGCCTAGCACATGGTGGGTAGCTTTGCTCAAGTTTGATCTATGTATACTCCTCCTTGGCCTTGGTTTCTAGAAAGGGTTGTGGGCTGAAACACAAAATAAACGAGAACACCAACAACTGTACTCGTGCCTTTCTCAGGGCTAGCTCTAGAATGTTCCAGGCCTGGTGCAAAATGCAAACAAAGGGCCCCTTGTTCAAAAATCATCCACAATTCCACACAGCAGCAGCAGGGCATCAAATCAAGCACTGGTTCTTCCAAGACAGGCCCCTGTGTGACTGTGCAGGCTGCACGCCCATCGAGCTGGCCTGCCTGTGTTCATGGAGGTGTCCTGCTGCCCAGGGAGGGGAGGAAACTTACCTAGTATCTATCCCACAGGGGATTGGGGCAGAGTGGACTCCGGAACCCTGGCCCCCAACACAGGACTATGTCCCCTGCAGGGCTCACTCTGTCAAGAGAAGGGTCCCTATCCCTGGTGCCCGCGATCCATGTGGGCCTGACTGTACACCAACTGTTCAACTGAGTCTGCAATGGGTGACTGACCTGGAACACAACCCCTGTACTCAAGAACCCCCAGTGTGAGAGGAGAGATGATCCTGCCCTCAGGGAACCCCAATCGAATGAGGGGCAGGGGACCCCCAGCCCAGTGTGAAGACCCCAATTCAAGCCTAGTCTCAATGACTGTCTTCTCCTGGGAATGTTATAATACTCTGGAGCCTGTCCTTCCTTCTTCCCACTCTGGTCACCCGCCTCATCCCGCCCCATCTTGAGGTGGGAGAGGTGACCCCGCAACCCACTTGTCATGACCTTTCCTGCTGGGAGGGAAGGTCTATGCCTGTGGTGAGAGCTTGGGTTGTGTATAAGGACTGGGGCATGTCTCTGTGACTGGAAGGGTATGTGCTCACTGGGGACAGGCTCATTTCCCTAGGCCTGGAACATTTTCCTGAACAGAGGCCAATGAAGCAGCCTCTCCATTCTCTAGCCTCCTTCCCCAAGGAACCTGCTTGATCTGGGCTGCACCAGCCCAGAGGCTGGTCTCTAAGGAACATCTGCTCCTTGGCTTGGGAACATCGTGACTGTCGGGCCATGCCCCTTGACTCCTCTCCTCAGTGTCAGCCCAGCACCTGCCACCCCCATGAGCTAGTTTCATGTGGCTTCACAGCCTGTGCTTGGGGTCACCTCATGGTTTGGGCAAGGTGGGTGCTGTCATTCGATTGCCCGGATGAAAACACTGAGGCCCACAGAGGAGTGGGACTCTCCTTTTAGACTCTACAGTGTCTCCAGCTTCTCTCCCAAAGATGGGAAACCCAGGGTGGGGTAGCTGGAAAGGAAGGCCTTCAAATCCGGTGTCAGGAGGCATTTATGCAGAGCCAGCGGAAGAAAAGGAATATGAGAACAGGAAGTGCTGGCCTCTACCTGTGGGGTACTACCCGATGAGGCCAGGGTCCCATGCCCTCAGGAAGCAAGTCTAGACCTGTGCCCTGAACTGCTGGGCTGGATCAAAGAAATGAAGGTGTCGTGGAGGGGGTGGTCAGATAAAGCCGGGGGTCAGGAAAAGCTTCCTGGAGGAGGTGGTGCATCAGACAAGCCCAAGGGGAGGGCTCAGGCCCAGAAACAGCAGGTCTAGGGGGAAGAACATTTCCTACCTCCATGCCCAGACCTGGGAGGCACAGCCTGGGTGTCCCCTGGCGACTGAGCGGGGCAGAAGGGCAGCTGAGGCCTAGAGGAGCAGGAGGAGGAGGGAGGCGAGGAGGGGAACCCCAGGAAGGGGCAGTCGAACTGTCGGGCCCTGCCTGAAGGGCCCACTATTGAAGAATGGATTATCCGACACCCAGATTAATGGGCTTTCATTTTGCTAAACATCTGTCACTGTTAGTACTGGCGCGCGAGCGTGAAATGAGCTTTGACTGCTGCCACTGCCGTATCGCGATGGGCACTATGGATCCTGTGCCAATGTTCGCTCTGCACACAGAGGGGATGTGGGAGGCAGTCATGGCATGCAGGGCCTGGTCCGAGGGCTGCGGCATGGCCACTGGGAGTTGTTCCAGGCACCCACAGGTGCTTATCTCACCCTCAGCCCTGAGAAGGGTTGGTGGGAACTCCCCCAAGAGCCCCTCCTTGGGGATGCTGCCCCCCACGTGGAGTATAATAGTGGCAGACACTTACATGGTACATGCCAGATGTTTTCCACATTTTGAAGCATCAAGTCACTTAGTTCTCACAACGCTTCTAGGAGGTAAGTACTGCAATTATCATGCCTTATTACGCATGAGGAAACTGAGGAACGAGGACATGGTTTGTACAGGATCACACAGCTGGAAGTGGTGGAGCCAAGATTTGAACACAGAAATTCTGGTCTTAAGTCCCAGCTTCCTTCTGCCTGAAACCAGTGTGATATGGGGTGGGGCGGTCTCCTGGTCTGTTCTTGGGTGAGGGTTGGAGGGCGGCAGGTCCCGAGGCTGGGATGGAGCCCACCCTGATGCCACCCCGCCCTCCCCCAGCTGTACATCCAGACGACGACGCTGACGGTCTCAGTGAGTCTGAGCGCCTCGGTGTCCCTGGGAATGCTCTACATGCCCAAGGTCTACATCATCCTCTTCCACCCGGAGCAGAACGTGCCCAAGCGCAAGCGCAGCCTCAAAGCCGTCGTCACCGCGGCCACCATGTCCAACAAGTTCACGCAGAAAGGCAGCTTCCGGCCCAACGGAGAGGCCAAATCTGAGCTCTGCGAGAACCTGGAGGCCCCAGGTGAGTGCCTGTCCCCACCCCTCTCCCTCTGGGCCCCGCCCCC